AGCTAAGTTTTCCTTACAGGGAATGCCATTTTGATTATATCCACTTCCGCTTGCATTGATTTCAGCTGCGTTCTGACTTTTTGCAAGTAGTTTGAATAATTTTCTGAAGAAGTGGTAAATTTACATATAAAATGTGTGCTGCTTCCCGGCAGATCCCAAATGCCAGTTGCACCATCAAAATAGAGACGTTGCTGGAGATGCAGCTGGATGCAGGCACAATTTTTACACACATTTGGAATGGCAGCTGCTCCTGGTGCTGGCAATGCTCTTAGCAAGTCTTTTGCAAATGTAAATGTTTGTACGCAATCGAGGAATAAACAAATGCACACGATGTGCGCATACATCCATGTGTGTGTGTATTTTTGTGTTGGTGCCTACGTGTATGAGTATAAGTATGCATGTGCGTGTTCTCCCTAGCAAGTTTTTGCCTTTTGTCCTTGCTGCTGCTTGCTTTTGAAAGAGCTTGCATGCGTGTGAACCTCAATTTGAATTATGAACTTGAGAAAATTAAGAAAACTTTTTATAATTGATGTTATGCATATTAAAACCATTTTATTTGTATGGGACACCGGATTTCTGTTTTTCGTCTTCCAGTTTTCACTTTTCATATTTCTATTTAGGCTGCTTCACCAATTCCCACTGAACCTCAGCTCTTAAGCAGGCTCAAAGTTAAAACCCATCGAATTGCTTGTGCTTGAGAACTATGTTGAAAAGTTGTCAAATGGTTGTAGTTGGGATGTTCTCAAAGCATTATCGAATTTTGATAAATGTTTTTAAATTTCTATGCAAATGCTACAAAAAGAATTTTTTAGTCTAGATGGAATTTGGGCGTGTAGATGGAATTTGCTTGCGACATGCCAAGTGAAAAACTTGTATTTTATCAAACTTTACAAACATCTCGGCAAACGTAAAATTTATGCTTTGCCTTTATCGGCAGGAAGACGCATTTGTATGGCGTAGCTTCTGAAGCTTAAATTTGTCTACCAAATATCATTCATTTAACTCGACCAATAAACAACATTTAATATCGCAAATCAGTATCGGATTAAGGCAACAGAGAATCAACAAATATTTGTATGTTATAAACGATAAACCACTGATATCTTTCCATTTAGGCTCTATGTACTCCATTTTAAATCTGTCCATTCTTACATTAAAGTATAACAAGAAATATGGGTTATGCTTGGTACACCAAAACTTCAATACACTTCTGCTCATATTTCCTAGCGGTGCTTGAATTCAAACTTGTTTGGCCGACCAATTGTTGTGCATGAGCCACATAATATAGTAGCCTGATTTGATACGGATTTGTTGGAATCTCGTCAGAATATCTAGAAAAATAAATAACTTTTATGCATTGTAAAATAATTAAATGACAATGATAAATCAGAGAAGGTTTCAGATAAGCCTCTTGTCTAAACAAGACGGAGGATATGCCCAACAATTCGTGTATTTTATTGCTACTTGACGTTCCGAGGAGGGCCTGATTGACGCTTAAATAAATCCTATAATAGGAACCGTGAACCTGAGTCTTCTTGGCAGAAGCCCACGTTAAGCCCATTGACTTTCTATTTATCTCGATATTATATTATTTTCTAGCGGGTACAACCCGGCCTTGCCCGTGGCACGTATGTTATAGATAAAGCTTTGAAAATGATTTTGAAACTGATCGGACGGTTAATAAACAACTTTAATACAAAATTTACCACTGTTACGGGTGGAATTTCCCAAATCGCTGAAACCCGTATTCATTATATTCTTATGTAGAGCTTTGAAAATAATTTTCAAGCATATCGGGAAAAAATAAAACTTCATCCATAACATTTTTTAATCGCATTTCTACCGAAGAAGTTTGAATTCTGCGAAAAGTGACAAACACGTCTCATATGAATTTTCATATAGATCGTTGGAAATGAATTTGAGCGCGAAACGTCACCCACCAAATCTTTGATCTCCATATCCACCAAGGAGGAACGGATTTTTCGAGATGCGTGAAACACCCCTCAAATGTATTTGAACAAAAATCTTTGAAAATAAGTTTGGGGCCGATCGGATCGTAAGCAAAAATCTTTCATACAACCGTTTTCCGCCAATTTACCACTGTTGCGGGTGGAATTTCCCAAATCGCTGAAATACTTCTTTATTAAGTTCTTATTTAGAGCTTTGAAAATAAGTTTGAAGCAAATCGGACACAACTTAAAACTTCGCCCAAAAAATCTTTAAATCGCATTCCCCCCGAAGAAGTTTATATTCTGCGAAAAATAAATTTTCACTTGCGGGTGGAATTTCCCGAAACCCCGTCTTAACGTGCACCTACATCACATAAGGTAACTACAGTGAAAATTTCAGCTTCCTAGCTCTTACGGTTTGGGCTGTGCGTTGATCACCAATCAGTCAGTCGGTCAGTCAGTCACTCAGTCATTCAGTCAGTCAGTCAGTCTGTCAGTCAGTTTTATATAGAGATTATATTCTCTACAAGCGTTTTCGAATAATTATTAGTAAATAATATTCATAGACTACTTTAATGGGCTTTGCGTAAAAACAACTCACAAAGTCATATTAATTTTGGGCTTTTCACACCTTTGCCGTGACATGGGCATCAAGTGAAAACGGAATTAACACATGCAGAATGCAATAAACGCTGAAGGAAGCACAAGAACTTTACTGTTAAGCTACACACGTCAACCTACTGCACCATCTCGAGTATGTGTGTGTGTCTGTCTGCCTGCTTGTATGTGTGAAAGGCATCTGCACAATTTAAGCACCCGAGTGTTTAATTTGAAAGTTTGTTTAACAACTTTTTAAATACCGTTCATTGCACTTGCTCATGTCACATTTTTGGCTGTGAATTTCAGCAGGAGGAAATTAAGTTGACATTAAATTAACAAACTGCAATTTATGATAAGCATTTAAAAGTTTAAAGTTGGACCATATTCTGAATTACACACCTTAGTTCTTGACAATATAGAAAATTAGTCCTGTATCTTTACGGACCTTTCAATATTGTTACAGATGGAATCCCCATTCGAATGTAGTATAACTATATTTGTTGCGACTGTGAGTGTTAAAGGTTTCTGTATAAAGGGCTCCTGTGTGGAGTTAAGGGTGCCTGTTACATTTGTTGAGTCTGCATGACTGTATTGGGACGTGTGTGAGTTTAGGTACTCCATGTTGGCAGAGATTGGTTACGCTTAGCCTTTAGAAATAATTGGAGTCAATCAATCTCTGCCGATCAATGTTGCCTGGCAGCAGTATAGAACATTATGTATTAAAACTTATACAGAATCCTGAGCTTGTCATAGTTTGGGCTCAAATTGAATAAGCACCTGTTGCCTGCGAAGGCTGACATGAGCAGAGGAACAAGTTAATCAGATTTCTGCTCAATTTATTATCGCTTTAAGTGGACTGTACTTGTAAATGTACATAAGCATATATCCTAAATTGCTGACAAAACAATTGATTGGAATATTTACATATGTAAATAGATCATTAAATAAGTCGAATTAATAAAGTTCTAATAAGTATGAGTAATTTATTTATTTATTTATTTTACATATTAATGGTCGACAAAAACGAGTGTCTTCCTAATTATTTAATATTAGGATATTTTATTTTATTGCCCGTCCGGGGAGCTATGCCCATTTTCACAGATAATTTTGTCAGTGACGTTATTAGAGCCTTCATCTAAGAAGAAAATAGTGTTCTTAAGTAAAAATAAAAAAAAAATCATCAAACTAACTATATTATATAAAAAAATAAAACAAATAGGAAAAAAGTTATTAATGAAGTAATGAAATGTATGCTAGATATATAGAGTGTTAAGTAGATAAGATAAATAGATAGTGATGGGAAAATTCAAGGATAGGGCGAACAAGAATAAAAGTTTGGTTATGAAACGATCGTTAATCGTTAGCACGATTGAAGGTCATAAATATACACTTTTAACAATTTATATGCAATTGATTGGGCGAAAACCAAAGTTGCATAGCATTCAAATCATCTTGTAGACGAGAGAGAAGTAAGGGATTAATGTATGAAAGAATAAGTTTCACATCGGCCGCATACATAAGTACATGAGGATGTGATATAATCGAGGGGAGATCATTTAGAAATAGAGTAAAGAGTAAAGGTCCAAGATGAATACCCTAATATCTTTATACTAAAAGTGTTTGAATCTAAGTAATTTATTTGCATTTTTTGTTATCTTCAGAGCAGGCATCAGATTTTAATATTTATTTTTCCTTTTTTTGGCAAGCAGGTGTACTTATGTGTTTGCATTTTATGAATACATAGTGAAATAGTGGTAATTTTAATAATCAAGCAAAATAATCCAATTATAAAGAGAATTATTCTATATTTGAAGTACACTTTAAGTTATACTAAATTTGATGCTGATTAGCTTGTGTCTAGAATAATTAACAAAATCGTCTCGTTTCTTCTGGATTATATATTTTCCTAATATATATAACTGAACAGGTTTCCAGATATTTATATAATCGAGCTTAAAGTTTACATATTACAAGAACAATTAAAAGATTAAAAAATAATATCTTAAGCAAATGATGCAAGCCATTGGCAGTTTACTTTTCATTTTACAACAGGGCGCACTTTTGCGCTGAAACGGCCCTGACCCTAACTGTGCGACGGGCTTCCTGCATCAAGTGTATAACAGTTTCACGCCTGCGCATTGCTCAATAACATTTTTGGCGCCAATTCGTCAGCTGTGTGCTTTGCCGGCGCTCGCGCTGAAGCCGAGCGCAGCGCACAGAAGTATGCTGTCAGAGGCGAGCAGAGGGTCGCTGCAATAAATATAAGTGTGTGTAAATGCGTATGTGTGTGCGCGTGTTTATATGTGTGTTGCCGTACGAACTGTGCGATGGTAGCTTCTTGCAGGCTGAACTGCCATCATCGTCCTCGTATTTGGTTGCGCGCCACGATTTGAGGTTCTTTAATGCCAGCAAATGTTTGGGCTCGTCATTCAGTGCCAAGCACGAAGTCGAACACCGTCTCTGTTGTCGTTGTCCACGCTGCTGTCGGCACTGTTATTCGTTGTCGTGGCACGTCCTGTCGCCGCTGCTTTTGCCAACTTTCGTGTTGTTTTTGAAGCTATTCACTCGCGTTAGTTACATCAGTGACGTTCACAACGCGTTGGTTCCTAGTTCGCGATTGCCAAATATATTTCTGAATGGATTCGCATCACAGCCGAATGAAACGAATAGAGCTAAAATTCGTTTAAAGTAACTAAAACTGTAATTTAAAAATATTATAAATTTGGTGTAGTGTCAGTTAAATAATAAACAAATAATACAATTTCGAAATACTTTCGTAAATATTTAAAAATAAAATTAGTTGGTGCCAATACTTTTATATTTTACAAGTAATACTTGTGAAAATAACTTTAAAAATTTGCACGGACAAAAAAGATATATTTGAATTTTTGCTGTTGCTTGAACATTTTTAATTCAGTTAAATAATTTTATATAGTAAATTCTTTGTTAACCACAAGAAAAAACAGGTTTTTATTTTTTACCCAAAATACTTTGCAATTAAATCATTTAAATGGTATTCATGGTGTGCCTAAAAAATTGTAATTCAGCAAGAAAAGATAAATTCATGTAAATGGACCAATTTAAAAGCAATAAGCTGAAACTTAGAGTAATAGGTATTTAAAAACCGTTTTTATAGAGTTATTATTGATTTACTCATAATGAACCATATTTAAAAAAAATATACCTATGTGCATACTATGATATGGCGATTAATTAAACTTAATTTATAATTTAATGTTTATGCATATATTTGTATATAAGCTTTTGGTTCAAGCAAACCTCAATAATTCAAAAGTTAAAGAAGATTAAGAATGTATCAAATAAAAAAGCAATTAAGAAGGATCTCGTTTAAAACTACTCAAAGGAACAAGCTAAGAATACTTCACCTAATATTTTCCCAGTGTGAATTCTGTTCAGCTGCCTCTGAGTAGAGGAGGCTGTTTCGTTATGTGATTAATCATGCTAATATATTTTTCAAGTGAAATTCAATTTCGACCGCAACGCGAGTAGCAAGCACCACACGAGCACAAGCGACAGGATACCAAGCAATATATAAGAAAAATTACCCGAAAATACCAACGAAACCAGCAACAACTATAGACTACAGAAACATCAAGAAAAAAACCCAACAACAGCAGCACGCAGTGAAACGAAAAATTGCAATCGACAGGAAGAGCAACAGGAGCTGCTGCTGTGCTGCAGCAGAGATCCCCAGGAGGAAGGAGCCACAGTCTGCAAACGGTGCGTTTTAAGTGTGTGAAAATGAATATGGGCTTATTTGTTCAGCGTTTTCTTAAAGGGGCATTTCAGTTGATTGAAGCTTCTTAGATTTACTGAACATTTAATTGGAGAAGATGTTCAAAATAATGCTATATTTATTTCGTAATATGGATTGAAGGTTGTTTATCAAAATTTGACCTTTTGCCTGTATTTGGGGACATTATTATTGCTCGCAAATTAGTTGCCCTTTTGAATGGGCTAAATAAACAAACACACAAGGACGTAGAGGGACCTAAGACCTTTTTTTCGCATTCAAAGCCCTGAGCGTTATTTTTTATTTTCTAGTTTTGCCATTTAAATAGAAAACGGCGTTTGGCAGCAGGACAGACAGCAAGTCGGCAAGTCGACAGCGGCGACAAGTATAACATTTAGGTTAATCATACGCCATGTTGTACGACGGCAATGGGTCTAGTCGCCTGCGTTGTTGACTATTTAGCATAAATTAGTAAGTTTTTACTCTTAATGTTAGCCAGGGTGCCGCCTAAGCAAACGTTGTGGCCCACGGCTAACTTTTGGCATTGACAGAAATAAAATACTTTCATAAACAGGCAAATAATCACGGCCCAAAAACCAGAAAATGCTACGGCGCCTTCGCGAACTGACAGGTGAAGTGCTGCTAATTATCGTCAACAGCATCTGTCTGGTGTCCTTATTATTTAAATCAATTATAATTTAATCATTTTATCGTTCTAATAAATCATACACCAGGCGCCAGGCACCGAGCTCTAGGGCTGCAGCCGGTAGTCGCCGGAGCTGCTCAGCTTGGATTGCCTTGTCTGGGCTTGATTGTTATTAACAATATGCGAGCATATACCGAAAAGTTGCAGACAAAACAAAATTTAAATAGAAAATTAAAGCGGTGGCTACAATGACAACGCTGTTGAAGATGACGATGACGATGCCGGAAACAAAAGAAAAAAACTTTCTTCATTAAAATTTTTAATGACTTTCTCTCTATTTGCGCAAGGTAATGAAAGTCAACAGCGTAACTATGTTTATGCGCAGTTTCTATATACCAAGCTCATATTTGCTTTTGATGCAAATGCATGTTTTTCACGGACTTTTTCCAAAATTGTTTTTCGTAGAAGTCGCGTATTTGTAGAGATTTTAAAAAATATAAATGAATTGCGTATCAAATAAAGTCACCTAAATGTATAGTAACTTATACACCTGTAGAGGGTATTATAATTAGTGTACCCTTGTGGAGGGTGTTATAATTTTGCCATGAGATGGGTAAGAAGAAGTATCCATCGCCGTCCTTATAGAGAATATATTTTTTTGATCAGAATAAATAACCGAGTCGATTTAGAGAAGCCCCCTTGTTTGTCTTTTTCACTTCGTCAATAAATCATATATCTATCGTCGGTGGAAAATAAAATTCTTGTATAAGCAAATTTTTTCCTTATCAAGATATCTTGACCAACCCATCATTTATTATTTTCACTGTGTTTCATATCATCATCCTTACCATCTTATCATATAGCTATAAATTTTGGATGTTGGATTCCTATAAGATTTTTAGTGCGACTAAGTGCGTTATGCATTCGTTTAATTTAATGAAAGGATTATAAAACTTTCTTTTGCTCCTTTTGAATATACAATATCGTAAACGGTAATTTAAATGTAAATATTTCTTAATGAGTGTGCAATTGCAGTTGACTTACAATTCTCTATAACTCATTTGTATTAAAGAATTATAAAAATCTATAATTTTTAACATTTCATTTTATCAAAATATAAAAAAAACATATTATAAGTTATTAATATTTTATTTATAAAAATTAGCTAAGTAAGCTGAAAATCAATTTGTTTTGTAGTTATTCAAAGTATTTTCGTTTAAAGATTCTTTAAACAAAAATAGTATAGCTCTACGAATTCATCTGTTGCAGTCCGTTTTTTTTATGATTCTGTTGAATCAATTGTAGGGGGTTTTCTTTACACATTTCGGATATTTCCTTCAGTAGTATTTAAAATTTAATTAGTATTTTTTCTTTATGGTTATTGTGCATCTTAAATTTATTTGTGCACAAAGTTAAGCCATGTATATTTAGTGAGAATAAATACCCAAACCCATATATGCAGATGTTCTTGTGTTAGCTTGAAATTGTTCAATTAAGATAAGAAATTCTAGAAACACATAAGCGTTTAAGTTGAGTAGTTCGTTCATGTTGCCCCTTATCGTTTCGCGCTTATTGATTTCATAATAATGTTAGAAGACACGCAAATGAGAAGCAGTCTTAAATGCTTACTAATTAAAGCTATGAAATTACCATAACACATGACCTAACCCAATGTACAATTTATTATCTGGCTTCCCATTAAAGTCTGGCGCACACTAATCATAGAAACAACAAGTAACAAGGCAGTATACAAAAATTTTTCATTTAGCATTACAACAATCCCGTAACATTCAACATACATAGAATACGAGATTTCTTATGTTGTGCACCCATTGAAAATGGGTAAAAAGGGTATATTGTATTCGTGCAAATGTATGTGACAGGCAGAAGGATGCTTCTCCGACCCCATAAAGTGTATATATTCTTGATCAGCATCAACAGCCGAGTCGATCTAGCCTTGTCCGTCTGTCCGTCAGTCCGTCCGTCCGTATGCATGAATGCAAGGATCTCAGAACGCTGGAGAAAATTTAGCCTAGTCCATGCGCAGTACGAGTTTGTTTCCAATAATCGATATCTTACTCCGTTTCCAAGCAATCGATAAAAATCGATATCGAAATTTTGTTTTTTGGGAAAACTGGGTAAATAATGAGAGCTAGATATGCTGCTCCTAGAATAGTATATATATATCAGTATCTTTCATTTTATACCTATCGCCCCCTCCCCGCTACCACAAAAGCTATAAATCAAGTAAATAACCCAATTTACATATGCTGCCCGCCAATGTAAGCCACAATTTAAATGAAACTGCCATTTTGAGAATATACGAATATTTTATAGTACAATAAGATCTACTGCTAAAAATTTCATCAAGATCGGTTAAGAAACACGAAAGAAAATGTGTTTTGGCTGCCCGCGTGTTTGCGGCAGCTAGCGCAAATTCCAAAAATTTCTGTATATATGTACACACACATTCAAGCGCGTCTTCTTTGAATTCTATCAACAGTATTGCAATTGCGATTGCATGGTTTTTTGTGCTGCTATTTTAATTTGTTTTTTTTTTCTCATTAAAACTTAATTATTGGTGTGGCTGTTGAGTAGAGGCGGCGGAAAGTAGCGCAGTCAGTTACGAGTTCGAACCGTACCGAGGAAACTATTTCTTTATTTCTTTTTGGCTGGTGTGGCTGTTGAATAGAGGCGGCTGTATGTAGTGCGGTTAGTTGCGAGTTCGAAACCAGCCAAGAAATTTTTAAATTGATCTTTATTACTACTAAAACAAACGAGCTCGTAGCTCGAGCTGCATTTGGTTTTGGAAGAAGAGGCCTCAGGTATCCTCTAGTCGGTAGCTCCAGACTAGAACCTCTTAATTGTTTATTATACAAATCGTTGCTCTTTCGTTTTAATTATTCTTGGGTGAAGGTTTAGGTATAGCAAAAATATTTATTTATTGGTGGGACGGGAAACACATTCAAATGTAGGGTACATGGCAAATTGGTACATGGCGCTCGCTAGAGGGTATAAAAAGGTGTATCCACAACTGGTGCAATAGATTAACAATTGCATGCCACACACAATTAACGGGTAATAATACACCGGGCTGGGGGATTGTAATTTGGCGCTAGGATGTATGTGATAGTGTGTGTCTGAGTCTATGTAAGCGTGTATTATACGACTTAGCTGTTGGCACGCCCACTCCTGCTTAGCATCCAATAACGTATGTATTTACATACGTGCGTATACATTAAGTTGAATGACAACGCAACCAAAGCTGAGAGCTCGCTAAACTATTTATTTGCATATAAATATTTCAATGCTGGGGCAAAAGCAAATGCCTTAGTTCAGGCACACCACATACTGACACACACACACACATACACACACTTCTTATTGGAATAAGTTGTGCCTGCTGTTGGCACAATACAAGTGGGTGTGGTGAGAGGTGGCGGGTTTCTCATAGGTGTACTGGCAACTGCTAGCTTCTACGTAGGTCGCCATAGCCGCGCAGCTGTAATTGAAATAGTTTCCCAACCAACAATGTGGCTTACATGTGGTGTATGTACAAATGGGTGCGATATGGGTGTGTGTGTGTGAGTGGGCTGAACATGTTTTCAATAAAACAAAGGAAATCCATTTGTGACAGAAGTAATTGTTTAGACGCGGGCCTACCAAGCTCGGCGCCCAAAAATAATGAGACGCTTACACACACATTTTCACCCATCAAAAAATACACACACACACTCACACACTATGCCCTTTACATTCGTCACAATTTATATTTGTCGCATTGTTTTGTTGTTTGAGCGGCAAATGCGATTCCAATTCAGTTTAGTTTACATTTTAAACAGTGGGCGCCGCAGAAGAACAATAAAAGCCAAACATCAAGTGCACATTTCCGTTCATACAACACACACATGCACACATACACACATTTATACACATACATATATATACATATACATGCTGATGTGTGTGTGAAATGCTGCATGGACATAGTTCTTGATTTTCACTTAAAGCAAACAAGAAGCAAAAAAAAAACTGAAAGCTTTACTAACAAGCGTTGCAATTCACAACATTTTATGTAACCAGTTGCATAGTTTAAAGCAAAAAACACATATAGAGAGATGAGAGAGAGAGAGAGAGAGAAAACGAGATGGTATAGATAGAGATAGAGTATGCAAAGCCCAACATTAAACACTAAATTGTCGGAGCTGGTAGTCTAAACTAGTGGCATCATCAGGGAGCAGGACATATATAACCATCAACATGATGAACATAATGTTTTACGACTGTGCCGCTCATAAAGCAACGAAAGTGCAATTACCACAACAACAATAACGATAACAA